GGATAATTTTTTTCTGTTTCTTCACTACTTTTTTTTCCTAGGAGGAATCACTTTTGCCTGGGAATTACTCGAAATCATAGCATAATTTCCTTTCTGATTTATTTTCTTGCTATCTTTCTCTCTCTCATACACACATACACAGAATCAGAAAAATTACTGAAAAATTTCTTCCTGAGAAATCTGCTCTTCTCTGTTCTCAGGCCTCTTTCAAGTGGCTTGGGTGAGACAGGATGAAAGTCACAGGTTAACCATCCAGGGGAGCTGGAGAAGCCGAGTGATTTGTGCAGAACTTGGTGCCAGCCAAGTAATGAGCCGGCCTCCCCCTCTCCTCTAGAACAAGGAACAGAGAATGTGGTGACCGTTTGTCCTGCGTTGACTCTGTCCTCCCGTGTCTGGTTGAGGGAGAGGAATGGGCTGGCGGAGGCAGGGAGGAGGTAAACGGTGCAGTTCTGGGTGGCTCCTGGAGGAAGCGGGGGAGGGGGGGAGGTACACTGGAGGGAAAGCTGCTCCTGCACAGATGCTCGCCCAATGGAACAGCTGGCCGGAGAGAAGGGAGGCAGAGCCCGGAGTGCTCCGTTGTCTCCTGGCCATCCTCTGATGTCTGGCGAGGGGATAGGGAGAAGGAGGAAAGACAAGGCTCGAGCTATCGGTGCCTCCTGGTGAGTGTTTCCCAGGCTGTCCGTGAAAAGCGTTAGGCCAGATGGAGGGAGAAGAGCTTGAGCAGGAACAGATTTTGGTTAAGATGGAGAAAAACAGACCAACAGATGGAACCCGAGAAAGTTTTTCCTTTCTTTCCTCACTTTTCTAGGAGAGAGATAACTGCCCAGATTGTGGGGCTCCAGAGTTCGACCCCAGAGCCCCGTACTGCAGTGCGTTACTGGAGTGTTGACTTCACAAGTGAAACAGGATGTAGAGGGGTGACTCCCCATCACTCACAAGGATGTTGTGAAGACTGAGGGAAGACAGGGCTGCCAGAGAAGCATAGAGGGAAACCTTAATTCTGTATGGAAGGTTCTCTCGATGACAGCACCAGTTTAAGTTTATTTTCTTTCTTTTTTTTTTTTTTTAATGTTTGCTATAGGGTGCATGTGCTCACCAGAGAGATAGTGAAAGCAAGAGAAAGAGAGGATAGTGAGAAAGCACCCTCCAGGCAGGATGGCCATGCCACAGTCCCTTCTCCACTCTCTTAGGATTTGGGGCATGCACGCACCTGTGCCCATTGTGGGTTTGTTTTTGTTTTTTTAAGAATTATTTTATTTAACTTTCTTTTTTTCATTTTTTTCTTCATTTCTTTATTCACCCATTTTAATTTGACCAGAGAGGGACAGAGAGGGAGAAAGTGAGAAAGCAAGCCACCAGGTCCGGGACTCGAACCATGGTCAGCCATGTGGGAGTCCAGCGCCCTTAAGCACCACGCCACTTGCCAGCCCCCCCGCATTGTGTTTTTCAAGCCGCTGGGTCCTTGATTTGAATCATGTAGTCTGCCATGGGGGTCTAGCTGCCTTAACCACCGTGCCAGCCACTGGCCCAGTTGTACTTTGGTGACTTGGTATCAGTGAGACACATGGCTGCCCTGTGAGCACTCCAGTCTTTGGGAGGGGGCTTGCTGGCCTGGGAATTAGGTACTTGGGATATACAGTATTGAATCTGAAACCAATGATAAAGGATGCAGATGAGGAAGAACTGCTCCCAGCCCTGAGCACAAGGGAGACCGGCTTTAAAATCAGAATCTTGGCCATTGTTTTTGAGCAGGTTATCCCTGCCTCCTGGCATCTGGTCTGTTTTAAAAGCTAGAACGGAGGGGCAAGGTGGTAGGGGCGCTGGACTCCCACATGGCTGACTGTGGTTCTAGTCCCGGATCTGGTGGCTTGCTTTCTCACTTTCCTTCTCTGTCTCTCTCTGGTGGCTGTAGAAAATTTTAAAAATAGTAAATAAAATAAATCTTTATAAAAATGAAAGCTAGAATGGGTTGTGGAAGCAGGCTGTGAGTAACCAAGGGTGTGAAGTATTTGGAAAGGAAAGATGTCTAACCATCCATCTGCATGAGGACGAGCAGCTTCCACACTGCCTGGAGACACTGAAAACGTTCAATTGAGTTGTTTTGCTAGAAAACACTACACAAGGGAAAAGTATATCCAAGCTCCCGTTTCCTTCTGACAAACCAATGCAGGACTCTCACTTGCTCTCCGAGTGTTTTCATGAAAACCCTAATCTACACATCAGAGCATCCTGTCTCTGCCATTTGGAAAGCCCTGTATAGGTACTGAGTGATTCTTCATTCTCCATCAGCCCATAGAGTGGCTCTGGGGCAGTTAGATCGTTTAGAAGGAAAGGAAGTGGTTCTGGGAACCAGCAGATGGTGTAATGGTTATGTCGCTGGATTTTCACGTAGTCAACGGCGATTCAAGTCCTGGACCCAGTGGCTTAAACTCACACTGGGCGTATGTGTGCATGCTCAAAATCCCAAGAGGAGATGGGGGAAGAAGGGATTGCAGCGTGCCCATTTCCCTGAGGGGTGATTTCTAGCTTTCTGTCTCTCTGGAGCACATGCACCCTATAGCAAAAATCTCTTTTTAAAAATAGACAAAGAAAAGGAAATAGTTCTGTTGTATCATTTTCAACTTGGGTCTTACTTTCCATCAGTGCACTTCCAGGCTCTGCGTGTCTGTGTGTGAGCAGTGGTGCTGTTTGGTCTTACACGCTCT